CTGTCGCCGCTCCTACTACTTTCTACTACTTACTGACAACAGCAACAACAACAACAACTACTACTACTACTACTACTACTACTACTACTACTACTACTACTACTACTACTACTCCTACTACTACTCCTACTACTCCTACTACTCCTACTACTGCCACTGCTACTGCTACTGCTACTGCTACTAGTTCATATCAGACCCCGGGCATAGTGTCCACCACCTGCATGCGGCCCTCTTTGCCTAACTTCCTTCAGCAGCCTCAGGTATATCTGGAACTGCCGGGACCCCTTGATCGAGTCGCTTTGGCTGCAGATGATATTCATTCTCGAGTTGTTTGCAACTGGCCTGCGTGTTTTGCAGGCTGTGAGTGATCTTTTGGATATGCTTTTTTCCTGTTGGTCTATCCTTGTAGCAAAGGCTGGATCTCTCCGACAACGAGGTCGGCGGGCCTCGGGCCTCCGTTGTGAGATACTTCTACCGTTTCTCCTTCACAGGCAGCCCCACTGCTAAGTCCCTTCATTCGATTTTGTTGAACCTGGAATCCGGGTTTCAAGGACCCTCGACATGCCGACGTTTGTGCGAAGCATCCCTCAATCGGACTTGTCCGAAGTTGTGTTTAGCTCGAGAGCCCATGGAGGGCAAGTGGAAAAGTTCCTTCAGGCCAGAGGGTTAATGAAAGCGCCCAAAGCTTGCAGGCCCGCAGCACCCCTGGCCTAAACCCACAAAGTCGGAAGCTGGATGCGCAGTGCCGGGGAAGCTTTCTCTTGCGTGATGCTGCAAGTCTTGCGTCGGCACTGAACCGAAGCGCACGCATTGAAAAATGTAGCGTCGCAGTCACGTGCCAAAGTTTCAATGTGTTGACATTGTGCCCCGACAACATTGAATTGAGAGGCTCGAAATCGTGTCTTTCTGAGGCTTTCCAATGCGGGCGCACTTGAAATGAAGAGGAAACTGGACCCTGCGAGGTTCATGGAGAGCCTGGAGAGCAGGATGGCTTCAGTGGCCTCCTGCGATGCCCCATTGCCGTGCTTGCCTTTATGGCCCTGTAGGCTTCAGGTTTGGGGTTGCAGAATCCGTGTGACTCGCGTGACTTGGAGCTATGGTTTTGAGATGCTGGAGCTTTGCGTTTTGCAGTTCAGCCCCTGGAACTTAGAAAACGGGACTGCGGTTTTCAATTAGGCCTTTACGGTTTTATGTATAGCTTGATCTGGGCGTGCTGTTCCAAGGCTCCTCGAAAACTCGAGCGGAGCTAATCCGCTTGCCTTGCCAGGTCTTTACAACCATCCCAGCTACCCGATGATGCAGGACGTTTTGAGACCACACCCTTGTGTATTGCTGCCGGCAGACGTGTAAGGCCAAAGTTCTCCTCCATGGATCTAGGTCTGCACAGGCCGAGTCTAAATACCTAAAGCCCTAGGACCCCTATACTAAGCCTCTTGAAACTAGGTTCTCCAGTAACCCCTTGATGATAAGGGTACCCTCTTTCCTCCTCTTTGGTTTTAAGAAGGAGACCCCAAACCAGAGAGGGCGAAAGGGTACTACTGGGGAACCTAATGTTGATGATATAAATCCTGCATTACCTTAAGGATCCTCAACTATGGGAATTAGGGTATTATCCTTGTTATGGACAATGCAGGATTTATATCATGAGCTCTAGGACGCCCCTTTTACAAAAACTTTAAAACCCCAAACCCTTCAGTTTAAAACCCTCAAACTGTTAAAAACTCTACAAAGCTCTACAGCCTAAGGCATAGAACAAAATATGAAGCCCTAAAACAAAACTTGGGGCTGCCAAGCAGCACACACGTCGGTGTAAACTCGCAAAAGGAGGGTCGTGCAGGCGGCGATGAGACTGCCAAACTTCTCAACTCTAAACCCGGCCCTACACGTTTCTTCCACGCAGGAGCACCGGAAGGCGAGATGCCGAGCATTGCTTGTGGGGGTAGTTGCCGTAGAGACTGGGCCATGTTCAATATCTTTTTCGAGATCCCGACGTGCTAAATTCCTTTCACAGGGGACCCTAGAAACTCTTCATGTTGGGCAGCTGAGCTACTCGCAGATCAACAGGGTCTGGTTGAGGCTTTTAAAGCCCCCCCCCCCCCAAATTAGGGGTGAGTATTTCAAGTGTTGGTGAACCCCAAAATATCTTCAACTTGAGCCACCCCTGTACGGGCGTTCGGCAGTTGGAGCTTTCCTGCTTGCTGGCTGAGTTCAATCGGCTTTATGCACGTTGAGTTCGGTGTCGGAATCGAACCTGCGGCCGCGGGATGTGCAAGTTTCAAATTTTGGGGGTCCGGACATGGGACATGGGAGCTTGATGTGTGACATGGCTGGCCTGCAATCCTGCGGGGAGAGCGCCGTCGTGACATGGGATGCTTGCACGGATGGTGACAGCAGTGCCGTGCGAGATCAGCCCAGCAGCAGCTACGAGCAGCAAGCCAAACAGCTCGAGACAGCTTCATGGGCTCCTCCTGCGAAGTCGCACAGAAAGCTTGAACACAGTTACAACCCACACCCTATAGGCCCTAGGCCATGAGCCCTTGTCGTAGTTTTCAACCTTCGCCTGGGCTTGCGGGCTTTCCGACTTAATGCTTCAGACCCGGTCTACCCCTAGAAACCACGCTCGGGTTTTTTCGCTCACACACACACACACAACCCCAGGCGGCGCCGCTTCAGCTCCGCATGTCCGGGAACTACATCCGGGATGCGCAGCGCTGCAGCCCAAGCGTTTGGAGGGAGATATTCTCGGTTTTTCGGGAGTGCTGGCATGAGTTTTCTGGATTTGAGGCTTTTCTTCTTGCAGGTTCTGTGGGGCGGGATGGCGTGGGGTGGTCCGAACGCGATCCAGCATGTCTGCCGGCCAGGATGTGGGCCAAGCCGCAGGGCTCTCTTAGAAGTCTGAACAAAACCGCCAAACCTTGTCCCCTAGCCCCCGACAGCTGGGTACGGGTACGAACAGGACTGGAGCTGGGAGGCTTCCACTTGTCTTTGGCACTCCGGTAGCACCAGCCTAAGGACTAGGGAAGCCGTCAAGGCTGCCACAGCTTCAAGCAGCACCGAGTTTTCGAGAAGATTCTGGTAGCAGTGCATGTGGGTCCTATGGTGCTTCCGCCCAGGTTTGTTGGACGACATTTTGGCGAACGGCTGCAAGGATGGCAAGGCGCTGATCCGGCTCTGCCCCAGCGCGGACCCGTGCTCCAAGAGACGAGTCGGAGATGCCGGAGACTGCGAGGATTTGCTAGCATCTAGCCCTTGTGGGAGACTGGAAGTCGAGACTAGACAGGGGTGTTGTGGCCCCTTCATCACGCTCGCTGCCGGGTGCAGCAGGTACGTCCAGGAGCATGAGGAGTTTCTGTCTGTCTTCCTGCCCGACTTTCTGCAACAGAGGCAGGATCCCAAAGCCACCAACCCGAGACCCTGGAAACACACATGTAAATCTGGAAGCGTCAAATTCCACAACCTAAACTGGCCCAAAACAAACATTCCAGCAGAAAAGCTACAAAGTCCACCCGAGCCATTAAGGCCTTATGCCAAAATAAGCACCGCCCGGGAATCGACAACCTCCTCACACCTATACTGAGCAAGAAGTCAGATAGACCCGCATCATCCTCCATCTGTAGACTAAGGAGAGAAAAAAAGAGACTCCTGCTTTGTTGTCCTTGCTGCTTGCAGAATCTACCCGGAATGTGCTCCGGAGCATGTGGAAAAGCCAATTTGAGGTGTGCATGAGGTCCACGGGCTATACAGATCCCTTCCCTTTTAGGTTTGCAAAGAGTTTGAACATCAGGAGCGGCAGAGAGGTAAGTTGTCTGCAACCCAGAGACTGAGACAGAAGTTCCCCAAATGCGAGGGGTACGGATGGACAGCTGCCCAGCCACAGCGGCCGCAACGGACAGGCGCAAGCCTTGCGGTTTGAAGGCTTAGCGCTGTGGTTCGCAAACACGGAACATCGCTGTGCGTGCTCGTGGCAGTCGCAACAGCAAGGCCTTCGTGCGAGAGTTTGTCTCCGATGAATCATGTGTGATGGGATTGTTAGGTCTTTTGCGCATGAGAGCGCGCTTGCAATTTCTAAGCGTTGTGTTATCACATATGCAGACAAATTTCTCCAAGTTGAGCGACTTAAAGCCTGTCGAAAAGCTGCTGCCTCCTAGACGGAGACGTTCTCGCAAGACACGTAGGCAACTCAGCTCATCTCGCAGCAATGGAAAAGCTGTTTTGCTTCTTGGCGCCGGTGAGCGCTGAGCCACCAGCTTTTAAGCAACCGGTTTTCTCACATGGAGCTTCGTACAGACCTCCCTGCTCATTTTAGCCCGAAGCCTTGCAGGCCTTGGCACGTGTCACAACTCTACGCCAGAGCTCGTTGAACTCTTAAGACACCAGGGCTCACGCTTCCAAAGAGCACGGCCGAGCTTTCCGTGATCTTCCATGAGTTTGGTGTCAGGATGCCACAGCGACGCCCATCACGCTGCCGGATGCCCAGCTGTTGAGCCCTGACCGGACCCAGCCAAAACCAGAAGGTGTCCTTGTCACAAGATGGCTTCAGACTCCCGATGCCATCCATCTTATCTTATCAACTCCGAACTCCCGATCCGACCTGTGAGGCCACTTCCTAGTACGGTCTGTAGGCACGTATAGACACATCCTACATGTTAACCATTCTTAAACCGTCTTCAAGCATCTCCACCTTTTGCCTCTTCTTCCGTGCAGAAGCCTGAGCTCCGCAGACAGGCGAAGCCGCGGACGGAGCCGCTCCCGAAAACGTCGGAGAAGAAAGGCGGAGGTTCCCTGATGTGCTGACTGCGCTTTGCAGCTCCTGCTGTTCGCGACTTCGCGATGGACAGCGAGGCAGAGGCCGCTGCTGCCGGAGCGCCAGCCGCACCTCCACCCGAGGCTCCGGCGCAGGTGCGGTCTGCTCGGAACCGAAAATTGAAAAGACAGCCCTCCGCAAGCTCTTGACTCCAAGGCTTCTGAGCCCTTCCGGGATCAAGATGCCAGGTTTGGTATGATTCCTCTCCTTTGATCCCCTAGGCCCTTAGCCTGATGATCCTGGTGAATGATTCCTTACTTCCCGGGAATTCTACAAGCAATCTACGACTGGCAGGTATTCAAACCTCATTCCACGGAGCACTGTAGCAGCTTCGAGAAGAAAGCCTGCAAGCGGGAACTACTGAATTGGGGGTAGTATTTGGTTTTGCAGTTTTGGTTTGGCTGGTAGAGTTTTGTAGTTTAAGCTGGTCTGGTCAGCATATAGTGTCGATTTGGGTGCTCGAAAGAATGACCCCGCCCAAGTTCTCGGAGCTGTTGCAGGCCCCAGCGCCGGCGGCAGATGGCCACAGGCCTGCGATCCTTTGCTGCTTGCGGCCGGTCGGTTTGGGGTTTGGGCCACTTACAGGCTTAGAGGCGAAAGTTTGTGTTGTCGGGCCCAGCATCTGCGAAGGCCTTTCCAAAGGCAATGCTAACATCAAGCGCATGCGGTGGGGATGCAGGGGCGAGAGCCCGAGAGAGACACAGAGAGAGAGAGTGAGAAGGGGAAAATCAAACAGAGTGACAGCCGGAGAAAGACCAAGAGAAGGAGAAAGACTAATGGACATAACTATGACGAGAACTGCAAAGCCACTGTAATGCTTAAAGCAACAAGGCTACCCGCAGTTTTCGTGTTGTATGAAACACGCTACTTGTATGTGTTGAAACAATTGAAACCCCGTCTGAACCGACATGTTCAGGTTGTCCGAGTAGGATAGCGAAGCCCAAATTGAGCCCAAAGCACGTGCTGGAGGTCGCGACGCCGGAAGGAGAAACACAAGGAACAGCGCGGGGCCCAAGAGTCTGTGTCCACCTTTGTAACACCGAGTAGAGTATTCTGACCGTCAGAGGCATTGCGCCGTTCTCGCGGATCCAGGTCTTGTGTTGAGGCTTTGGGAGGTCAGCCTGAAGGCTGGAGGCCCATCACAGGCCCAGGGGCCCAGGCTGCCGTGAAGTCCAAAGACCAGAAGCCCCAGAAACGAGCTGCCATAGCAAGGCCGAATACCGCTGCTGCTCCCCCAGTGAAGGCGCCACGATGCCACGGGGTCGTGTAGACTGCGCACTCTGAAGTTCGACGGGGACGCCGGGGCCAGTGACTTTCTGCAGTTCAGTCGGACCTACCTCCATCCTCAGGGTGTTCTCACAGAGTTGCGGCCGACACTCGTGCCTCTTGTTCTTGCAGACAGACTTCAGTAACTTCAGAGAACTCCCTGTCCTGCAAGCCTGGGTTCCTGAAGCTTGAGGCATGCTCTGAACTCTGAACCTGCAAGCTTCTGGCTGGAGGAGGCGCCGCCGCCTGCTACGGCACAAGCACCCGTCATTTCTGAGGAGGCTGGCATGGGGACGATGCTTTCCAATGTTTCTTCCTTGCCATCGTGGTTCTAGACTTTGCTTGGCGACAACCGCTGAATGTGCAAGAGAGGGCTCCATTCGCGGTTAACCCAACCTCGCAAAGCCCGAATCTCTACCAAACTGTGCAGGCTGACCTGCTTGCCGGGGGTGCATCCGTCGAAACCGGCTGCCAAGTAAGTTAAACCTTCAACTCATGCGTGAAAACCTTTAGGTGAGTTCTGTCTCTAGAGCCTCGTTCCGCCAGCCGCGCGGAATTTATCTATCCCCAGTTCGGTGCTGAGCAAACAAGTGATGCCGACGGGCAGCTAAGAAATGCCCAACCTGAGCCAAGAGAGCCGTGAGAGTCAACTCCGATGCCTCAGCATCGGTTTGCCTGCAGCCTTCGGAGTGGTGTAGGATCCAACCAAGCTTTGGAACACGCTTTTTTCCATCGGGCAATGAACTCCCGAATTTCTCAGCTCCAGCAACACCTTGTAGCGGCCAAAGGAGCAAAAGAAGCTGCAAGCAGAGGTGGGTTCGGCACCCGGTCTTCTCACCACTGCCGCACAAGTTCCTCAAATTTGAAGGGCCGGAAGCCACGATGTGGCCAGTGGTAGCATTGCAGGGGTAGATCATTAGGAAGCTTTGTCTCGCACGACAGGGTCTGCTGCATGGCTGCATGCAGCGTTTCTCCTCTCCCGGGAGTCGCAGTACAGCCTAAGCCCTCACGACCTAAATTCAAGCATCTTAGATGCCAGGTCCTGTCGGGCTCTGTATCTTAGGAACCGGTTGCTGTAGGGTGCAGGTGCGTTTTGCCCTCTGCACATTGACATGTACTTCAGTCGAGCTTTCCTTTGCGGACGCGATAGGCGACTGCCTTCCGAGAACTCGCGCATACGCTCGAGTACGTCGGTTATCCTCGAGTTGCTCGAGTACGCTCGAGTATGCTCGTATGCTCGAGTACGCTCGAGTACGCTCGAGCGCATACTCACGCATACTTGCACATACCCACGCATACTCGCCCATACCTGCGCATTCTCATGTCCGCTTATTATACCCGCGCATACGCGCGCAGACTCGAGCATATACTCGAGCATATACTCGCGCACACCGGCGGACACCGGCGCATACCCGTGCATACTTGCGCATACCACGCGCTATCCGGGACCACTAGCTGCAGTCGCGCTTTCCCGCCACAGTGAAGCTTTCCATCTGCCCGTAAGGCAAGAAGCTGGCAAAGTTGGAGGGGCTGTAAGTGGCCAAGCTTCTGACACCTCCATGACTGCACACACCTGGCTTCAATCCCAAATGGGTGCGCTTGAGGGCCTTTGAGGGCTTGAGCTTCCGGGTCTGGGCTCCACTGGCCCGAACCTTCTGAAGCTTCGGTTGACCTGCCGTACCACGTGCTTCCCAGCTTCCCAGCTAAGATTTACAGTCTGGAGCTAATTGCATGCTGCTGGGTTGTGGACTTGGGATAAAGTCTTGGGATCTATAGGCCGTGAGAACACCTGGTGCGAGTTGTAAGGGTGTTAGTGCTCAGATCCGGATGGCAGGGTTTGTGAATGCTTGCAGCGGTAACGAGCTACAAGCTCTGCAAGCCTATGCGGTATCCTCTCTTTAGGGGCTTTGGTCGTGGCTGAAGTCTTTGAGCAAACTTCGCATCAAACCGTGAGCGAGATCATTTGAATGATTCGTGTTGCTTCTCCCGCACTGTACAGATGCCTGAAAATTAAGGGTCCCACTCACAGTGGCAGTATGTACTGGGTCGCGCTCGTACCGAAACTTGCGGGTTCAGTGGGCACGGACACATCGGGCTGTTCCGTGTGTTCGAATCTCCGAAGCTGACTCCAAGACTGTGGCTCACTTCGCTTGGCATAGCAATTGCAGCTGCGCATCGGTGGTTTCCGGCTCCGCAAAACGGTATGTCGCCACAGCTTCGAAAGCCCATCTTTCTTGGCAAGGCCCAGCGACCAGTCCACCTGTGATATGCTGTCCGAGCCGCCTGGATGAAATTTGATGCATTCAAGTGGCTTTCGATCGTAAGTTTGTGGCAGACACGAATTGGAGCATCTGTTAGGTTTGGTCACCTTAGAACTTGTGCACTCTTCGGACATTGGTCAGTGAACCGAAACCAAGCCATCGAAGCTGAGCATGTTGTGGAAAGCTCGCCTTATCTTATTCCCGAAACAGAGTGGCAACATTATGTATGGGGATCTTGCGTTGGGTGCACGGGAAAATTGATTTCTGTCACCCCGCGGCGCTCCTCCAAAAGGAGCTGCCCGCGTCCTGTTATTTATTTACAGCAGATGCTGCAAATCGAGTCCCTGCGTCCTAGCATGTGGTGCGGTGCATGACGTCCTATTATTTACAGTGGGCTCTTCATGCTACGAGTGCACGGAAGGCGTGATTTATTGTATAGGCAATACGATATGACCGGCTTTCTTGTACTTCGGGGCTGGGGGGAAGCGATTCAGGGTGTTTCTGTGGAAATCGCAAGCTCTGGGTGGGGAAGCATACATCGCCTGTTCACGAAATGCCCCAA